AATTTTCTTTCTTTCTTCATTTCTTTCTTTCTTTCTTTCTTTCTTTCTTTCTTAATTTGTTTATTTATTTATTTCCTTCCTTTCTTCCTTTCTTTCTTTCTCTTTTCTTTCTTTCTTTCTTTCTTTCTTTCTTTCATGCTTTAATTTGTTTATTTACTTTCTTTTTCCTTCTTTCTTTCTTTCTTTCTTTTCTTTCTTTCTTTCTTTCTTTCTTTCTTAATTTGTTTATTTATTTCCTTTCTCCCTTCTTTCTTTCTTTCTTTCTTTCTTTCTTTAATTTCTTTCTTTCTTTCTTTCTTTCTTTCTTTTTCCTTCTTTCTTTTTTCTTTCTTAATTTGTTTATTTACTTTCTCTTTCTTTCTTTCTTTCTTTCTTTATTTCTTTTCTTCCTTCTTTCTTTCTATAAATTTATTTTCTTTCTCAATTTATTTCCTTTCTTTCTTTCTTTCTTTCTTTCTTTCTTTCTTTCTTTCTTTCTTTCTTTCTTTCTTTCTTTTTCAAAAACCTATCTCATAATTACCTTGTAACTGCCGTAGTTGATTATTGTCGGGGATCGAACCTGAAAAAAAAAAAAAAAAAAAACAGTTTCGGAAGTTTATTTTCATAGCAGGTTCTTTTCACTTGAAATATTTGCGCAACACAATCTTCGACAGTCAGTAATTATACAATTTAACTAGGGTTTGTTTTAGTAAAGAGACAAACAAATCGGCATTCCATGGTCAGGAGTCAGTATTTGAGTTCACATCAATGTGAAGGTTTCGATGACTGATTTTCAAGGTTGTCAAACGTTCTTTCTAGAGGATTAGCGCACCAGCATCATCCTATTCTTAAAGCAGACAGTATATTTGTATACTTCTAAAATCTGTAAACATCGAGTGTTCTATTTCCACGCACACATATATTTAATTATATTATTAATAAAATACAAAATATAATATATATATATTTAATTATATTATTAATAAAATATAAACATATATATATTAATAATTTATATATCAATATAAAACAAAACCGTATGTGTGTATATGAGAGAGGGAAAGAGAGAGAAAGAGAGAGAGAGAGACTGCATTCTATTTGTTAAATGAGCATGACCATTCCTAAAAATTTAACGTAAATTATGGTCGATCCTGAGATCACGTATCTATCTATCTATCTATCTATCTATCTATCTATCTATCTATAAAATCTAAGTCTGCTCATATCTATCTATCTATCTATCAAAATTAAGTCTGCTCATATCTATCTATCTATCTATCTATCTATCTATCTATCTATCTATCTATCTATCTATCTATAAAATCTAAGTCTGCTCATATCTATCTATCTATCTATCTATCTATCAGGGTGGTGAAAAATCTCGGCCCAACCCACTTTTCAACGTTTTGCCAAATGACTAAACATTAGATTTTTGGGAGAAGGAAAGGTTTCTTGTTGGTATCGAGAGCTTTTCAGCACCCCCTCACACACACACACACACACACACGCACGCACGCACGCACGCACGCACGCACGCACGCACGACAGAATACTTTGCCCCAAGACTAATTACTTTTCCCTTTAGCTAATGATTGTCACTGACCCGGTACCGAAAATAAGGTTTTGATTCTCTTGTCGCTTATCTAAGTCTATGCATCCCGGATTTTGAATTCTATTTTTATTTAAGTAGGCTTTGCTTCCTCATTTGAGAGAGTGGCGCTGCACAGTCAGCCTTTTGAGTATCAGTCATTAGGTTCGCGTACTCGAATAACTTTCAGTACTGACGTCGATTATTATTATTATTATTGATTACAGTCGCGTTGTATTGGAGGTGGAGGGTTGGTCTAACGGTTTATTCGGAAAATTGCATCGTCGAGCCGGGTTCAAATTTCAGCTGAGGCAGTTTAGAGCTCTCTTCACAATAATGCCTTTGAGAAAGACATGACTCTACCTTTGTTAGGTCAAGTCAGGGATTATTTCCTGTTGTTGATACCATGTAACCTATTATACTTCGGTACATATTATTGGGAGTGAAGAATAGTCTCACCAAGTAATTCCCCAATACCCCGAGGGGTGCCATGAAAGACCCAGCATTTTTCTCCCTCCCCGACGATTTAACAACTTATAAACAGGATTACCCCTCCTCAAAAAATATACTGTCACGATGTAAAATGCGAGAATGGGGCGGTTAATTGATAAACGACAATTTAGTGCTGGTTACTAAACACGTTGTTGTGTAGGAGGGGTAATGGTTAGCGGCTCGCAACGAAAAGTCGAATTCAAGTCGAGGTCGAATATTGCTGCTATATCTGACTAGGAGCACCTACTTATATATCTATATATATATATATCTTGATATTCTTGACAACATTCAAAGAACAGTCCCGATCTGGTATCCCGACTTCAGCCATTCTCCCACCGACGGAAAGTGGCTTCCCTATTTTCACGGCGATTTTTCTGATACGTTTTCCTCTTTAGTGCGTCGACTGCATGGATTTAATTATACTACTAAATTGGCAACTAGCTTTACTGTTGAATTTAGTCAGTTATCTGCCATTCGTGATACACGTTTAGGCGATCATGTATCATTCGATACATGACTGACGAGGCAGATTTTTTCCTGCAGTAGGTTGCCATTTCTTTCTGCAGTAGACCAGTGGCCATCCAAAGCTATAGAACCCGGCCTGTCCTGCTGTTTACCTAGAGCTGAGAGAGAGGAAGAGGATTCATACTTTTCCCAAGGGTATTAGCACGTAATGGATTTGGCTGGAATTTGAACTCGGTTCTCTGATTCCTCAATCCGAGCCGCTATCCATTACTCCACCGTAGATGTAATCGTAATTTATATTCTAATAGTTTATTTTCTAGCACTTCTCGCCTTTGGTGCTCCTTTCCTATTTCTTGCTTCCCTGCCAACTACAATCTCTAAAAATTTAAATGCAACGTCAATCGCAACCTTCTTACTTCCTGAATCCTGATCCATTCTGGTCTTTTCCCTCACTTCTCCTCACTAAAGTCTTCTCAATCTCTTTCCCTCCCTGTAACCCCTACGTCCATGTGGTATTATCGCCTTGCTTGGGGCGAAAAAAAACCCCCAAAAAACCCCAAAAAACAAAACAAAAAAAAAACAAGCAAAATAAAACAAATACCTTTGGATATATACATGGATATATCACTTCTCCCCAAAAGTATGGGTTAAATAACAAGGCAGTGGTTGACAACCAGTATATGAGAAGAGTAACTGAATCCAAAACCGTCTGTAATCCTGAGCAGATGAGAATGCTTGGAAACAATCAACAATTCTGGAGATGAGAAATCACATTGATTTTTTTAAATTTCAATATACCCCAAGGCAGGGATTAAAGCCACTAAGACACAAAAAGTTATTGGGTGTGGAAATATTAAAAAACAGAAACATTAACAAAGACGTGAAAACAGAAGAAGAGTAATCAGGACGACAGTAAATAACGATTGACATTGCATTTAAATTTTTGAGGATTAAAGTTGGCTGAAAAGCATGGGACCGGGAGAGAGTTCCGCAAACGAGAAGTGCGAGAAAAGAAACTATTTGCATAGAACTTACGGTCACATCTAGCCAGCTCTATTGTAAATAGACGAGCCCTCGTCACCAGTCTAGAACTGCGCTTAAATTCATACCACAGCAGAGAGCTCACCCGAACAATTACCATGAAAGTGTTTATAGAAAAGGCTAGGGGGGAAACAACTTTACGGCGGTAGGAAAATGACTGAAGCCGAGCTGCCAGATCAGGATTAGTAATATTGCTGATCCTTCTTTGGTTTTTATCAAGGAGCTCAAGGTAAACAGCAGAGGCACCGGACCATATGTGGCTGCAATATTCTAAGCATGGACGGATGGTAGACTTATAGATATGTAAGATAGATTCAGTAGAGAAAAATTGTCTCGCACGATACAGTGAACCAATTTTTATGTCAGCCGGCCCTGCATATTGAAGAAGTCCTAGTAACGAAAACGTTACCCCTGGCACGACTTTTTTGCCCGATATGCGTTACCATACTACCACGAAGGAATCGACAAGGTAAATACCTCAAAGCACTGGACTGTATTTGGCAGCGATATTCTAAGCATGGACGAATGGTAGACTTATAGATATGTAAGATAGATTCTGGTGAGAAAAATTGTCTATTACGACACAGAGAACCAACTTTCTTAGCAACTGATCTGACGATGGATTTGCAGTCGGAACGGCTCTAATGATCCTGAAGGAGTGGTTTGTTTCGCATGTGCACTCTTGTAGGTTGAAGGTGCAACTCACCTATACGCCACCCACTTAAAGCAAATATATTTTAAAGCTTGCTACAGAAGAGGAATTTTTTCCATCGGAATTTTAGGTTTTTAGTATTTACATTCGGACTAATGTCTTTATCGTTGTTGTGATTATCACAACGTTTCGACAATTATGTCCTTTGGCCTTCTTCAGATATCTGTCAATTTGGATAACCTACAGGGAATTTCGAAACTCTTTATTTAATCTAAAGGGGTAAATTTTTCTCGTTCTGCTGTTTATGACTAGGGATATATCGTCTTGTTCTTGTTTTATCATTGCGCAATATTTTTTAAAATCGGTTCACTCCAAGCAAGGCGATATTGTCACGAAGACGCCGTGGCTTACTGTGGGTGAAAGAAAATGAGAAAACGTTAGTAAGAAGAAAAGACAATAAAATAAGAGGATTCAAAAAGACGGAATTACTAAACTTGTTTCCACTGAGTCTGATTGATTGATCGAGTGATTTGTTTTTTTACAGCTTATCAACCCTTTACAGGATATTTACAGCCAGTAAATATTTTTGGATTGTAATAATTTTGTGGGGATAGCTTACTTATATAATTAACCCATAACTGGTGGGAAGATAGGTGGGTTCATACTTTTCTAAAGGGTATTTACGCGTAAGTGAATATATCGAACCTGGCTAGAATAGGAACTCAACTCTCCGATTTCGAATTCCGAGTCGTTATCCATTACACCATCCGCACATCCAAGCTTACAGCATCTGGTATTCCCAGACGGTCACCCATCTAGGTACTGACCAGGCTTGACATTGCTTAACTTCGGCGATCGTACGAGAAATGGTGTTTCAAAGTGATATGGCCGTAAGCCCTTTAAATGTATATATCTTATTATAATCTTAATACGTGTAAAATAATTACACCTAAAAAAGACATAGAAAAAAAGAAAATAGGAGCTATCTACGAGTAAATCTGATCAGATCGATGAGGCCAAATTGGCGGCTGAGGTAAAAAACAACATTCAAATCTGTTGTTAAATGGGGCAAAGCATGGCTTGTTAATTTTAACATCCCCAAAATTAAACTGATCTCTATTAATCATCTGAGAGAGCCTTCTCTACTTTCCATCATTATGGCTGATGCTAACCTCCAGGCAAGTGGCTCGTTGCGCCTTCTCGAGCTAAGGTTCTCAGCTATCATGAAATGGAAAGACTATACTGAATCCATTGCTAGGTCAGCTGCTATGAAAGTCCGTTCACTGTATCGACCGAGACATTTTTTTCTCTCCAGAATCTATCTTACATATCCTTTGTCCGTGCTTACAACATTGCTGCCACATATCCTGCTATATATCTAGAGATTCTTGATAAAATCTAAAGAAGGAACAGCATTATTATTGGTCCTGACCTGGTGTCTCGGCTTCAGTTAATTTGCCCCCCCCCGCCTCGTGCCTTTTCTATAAATATTTTCTTAGGAGTTGCTCGGATCAGCTTTTCGCTATGGTACTCAGAGTTTATGAATTTAAGCGCAGTTCTAGAGGTTTCATCAATTTACAGTTGTTTTGGCTACATGTAACCGTAAGTTCTATGCTAACAGTTTCTTCTCTCATACTTCTCGATGGTGGAACTCTCTTCCGGCTTCTTGCTTTACAACCAACTTTAATCTTCAAAAACTTATATGGAATGTCAATCTCTAACTCTTGTCTTCCTGATTACTCTTCTTTTGTATTCGCTCCATTGCAATGTTTTTATTTTCTAATATTTCTACACCCAGTAACCCCTTGTGTCTTAGAGGATTTACTACCTTATTTGGTGTGAACAAAAAAATGTTTTTACAATTGAGAGAACGTATAGAATGTATAAAGGAGTTTTTCTCAGCCGGTACGCCCGGCCGCAATAATGCACCCTGAAAGGTAGCCAGATGGGTCCCACGTTAACAGAAGAGTAATTTATGAATTATTTTTTTATTATCCGTATAGCTATAATAAGCTGATAAAATCTTATGATCTCGTAAAGTTAGAAACCAAATCTTATTCATAAGATCTGAACTTCAAAATTTGGGAGCAGTGGCTTAGCTAGAATGTGTGCCGCTCGGGGCAGAGAGCGTGCCGCTCGGAGCAGTCCTTGAATTGGCATTTGTCCCCCACCTATCAAACAACATATATATATATATATATATATATATATATATATATATATATATATATATATATATATATATATATATATGCTGAGGAATCGGAGAGCCGAGTTCGAATTCCAGTTGAATCCATTACATTCACTTACATCCTAATACCCTTGGGAAAGGTATGAATCCTCTTCTTCTCCCTCCAGCTATGGGTAAATAGCAGAACAGACCGGGTTCTATAGCTTTGGATGGCAACTGGTCTAGGAGAAGGACAACTCTGAATTCAAAACCTGCGGAGGGTCGTTTGGGGACCTTGTGGCACTTAGTGCACCAGGTCTCTGTATTCGGCCTTTCAAATTTCAGTGGATGGTTCTGCACAAAGCCTTCACCGCTATAAAGAAATCTCATGTGCCGTTGTCGGGCTGTCGGTTTCCTGGGAACTGATCACCTTGACCCTCATACGTCGAACTCGACGGGAGAGTCGACTATATATATATATATATATATATATATATATATTGGTGCAGCAGATCATTATTTAAATATATATTATTAAATATAACAGACAATGAATGTCTGTTATGTCTGATCATGATTCGAACATTAGAACGGCTTATGATCAGACATAATAGACATTCATTGTCTGTTATATTTAATAATAATATATATATATATATATATATATATATATATATATATATATATGAACTATTAACATACCCAAGAAGATGAAAAATAGACTAAAAATACCTTCAAATGAACTGTCAAGGAAAATAACTGAAATTTATATTATAACAACCAAGATGTGTCTCCCACACTCAGCGGTGCTGCGGCATTAAAAGAACTCCTCCTGGATCTGTTTACAGGTTTCATATTGTTAACAATGATAAAACAGCCCTGAATACATCACTGCATAATGTTTACTGTTCGGCCAAGATAACAATTGCTTAAATATATATGCCAAAGTTTAAATTACTCGAAATCGAAAATGTCCTTCAACTGTGATTAGGGATCCGATATCATAACCACCTTTATTTACAGCCTATACTGGTTTATGTTGGTAAAGCGGGGAAGTTGAAATTAATATTAGATCAAGCCCCAGAGAGCCATCCTCCCAGGAAGTACCTCTCTTTCGGGAGGTGGGGGCGTAGCTTCATTGCCCCAAATTGGGAAGTGCTGCGGGGACTTGAACAATTTTTTCTACCTGTATTGCCGGTAAACTCACTTTAAACCTCGACTATCTGTCACATTAGCTATCGACGTGTATGAACGGAAAAATCCCTTATACAACAGATCCAAAAATACCACCACCATAAAGGTGACGACCAGAGCAGACCGACCCCTCGCCATCCCTCTAGCTATTTTACTACTTGGGAGGAATATATTATACAGGGTATCACCCCCCCCCCAAAAAAAAAAATTGACATCATTTTGTAGACTAACAACATAAGCATTTCTCTCTCAAATGATGTCAAATTTTAACAAAATGTGTAAAAACTAAGTTGACCGTGCGGGCTTATCTCAGTGAGAATCTATCAGGAAGATGGATCGGACGTGACACTGATAATGACAATGTTCTGTTGAAATGGCCACCACGTTCACCTGATTTGACACCTTGTGATTTTTTTTTCTATCGGGCTATGTGAAAGAACAGGTCTATATCTCGCCTCTTCCTACAAGTTTAGAGGCATTTAAGTTGAGAATCACTGCGGCTCTGGAGAATGTTACGCAAGACATGCCACAGCGTGTTTGACAGGAGCTGGACTACCGATTTGACGCGTGCCGTGTCACAGATAATGATATTGAACATTTATGAAGCTTTATGAAGTCGTTATAAATTCTACATCCCTTCGAATATCCTGTTCGAATGTTGCTAAATAAATCTTTTATTGTTCAACATGAAGCCTATTTAATTTCGTTTGCGTTGTTTGTAGTTACTCAGATATTCACATTTTAAATGATGTCAATTTGGGGGGGGGTGACACCCTGTATATTCTTTTTTAAATAATAAAAATATAAAAATCCACCAGGGACTATACTAAAATATCTAATGCTTTATAAGTAAATATATTGAATCCATTGCTAGGTCAGCTGCTAAAAAAGTTGGTTCACTGTATCGTAATAGGCAATTTTTATATCCAGAATTTATCTGTCATATCTAGAAGTCTACCGTTCGTCCATGATTAGAATATTGCTGCCACATATGGTCCGTTGCCCCTACTGTTTACCTTGAGCTCATTGATAAGATCCAAAGAATAACCAGCAATATTATTGGTCCTGATCTAGCGGCTCGGCTTCAGTCACTTTCCCACCGCTGTAAGGTTGTCACTCTGTGCCTTTTCTATAAATACTTTCATGGTAATTGTTCGGATGAGCTCTTCGCTATTGGCCCCCCTTTTATTTCTGTCCCTATTTTTTTTCTTTAAGTTTTATTTCCCCATCCCCTCCCTCGTTAGGTGGTCAGTGATGTCAGTTCGCTGGTGGATGCGGGGCGCCTTTCGTTTTCGCGTGAGCGCTTATTTCGTATTTGTTTGTCGTGTGTGAATGAGTGCATGTCAGTGTGAGTGGGTGGGATGTATGAATGGTTTACACTATTATAGTCCCGCATTGATTTCGTCCAGTGAAGTGATGTTTCTGTCACATGTAGTGATTGTGTGTGTGTGTGGGGGGGTATTACTAATCTTATTTTCTTTAGTTTCTTGTAAATAGTTTTTTGTATTCATATTGTAAATACTCATTGGGGTTAACTTTTAGAATTGTTGTTTTATTCCCCTCTCCCCCCACAGACATCGAATTGTAAACATGGGGAGTAGTTAGTATTTTCAAAGAGGTATTATGGTGGTTGTAGTAAGAAAGGTACGTATGAATGTGTTGTTTTGGTGTGAGGAATATTGTTTCGTACGATTGGGTCAGTGATTGCGGATAGCTAAGTTATAGTTAAGACAGAAGAAGACCGTCCTTTCCCCAATCCCCTTTTCGGCCTTGTGCCACATTTCTGTATTGTACAGAATAAATATTGCTCTTCGCTATGGGCGCCTTTCGTTTCTAGTGTAATTTTCGTGTTTGTTGTTGTGTCTGGATGAGTGTGTGTTTGAGTGAGTGTTTGGGATGAATAATTGATTTTATATTATTAAAGCCCCACATTAATTTCATCCAGTTAATTGATGTTTCTGCCACGTTGTGGGAGGGGGTTATTACTAACATTACTTTATTTAATTTCTTGTAAATAGTTTTGTTTTCATATTGTATATACTCATTGGGGCTAGTTTTAAGTTGTTGTTTTATTCTCCTCCCCCACAGACAATGAATTGTACATATGGAGACTAGTTAGGACTTTCATGGAGACAATGAGGTATTATAGTGAATGCACTAAAAAAGGTAAGTAAGAATGCGTTGTTTTGGTGTAAGGAATATTGTAGTATGTTTGGGTCAGTGTTTGTGGCTAGCTAAGTTTAACGTTAAGACAGAAGAAGACCGTCCTTTTCCCCATTCGCCATTTTTGGCCTTGTACCACATTTTCTTTACATAGCAGAAATAAATATCGCTCTTCGCTATGGTACCAAGACTTTTTTAATTTAAGCCCAGTACTAGATTGACGTCAAGATCTCATCAATTTACAGCTCAGCTGGCTAAATGTAACCGTAAATTCTATGCTAACAGTTTCTTCTCTCGCAATTCTCGCCTCTGGAACTCCCTTCCGGCTCCATGCTTTCCAGCCAACTTTAATCTGCAAACATTTAAATGTAATGTCAATCGCTATCTACTGATTACTTTTTTCTCTTCCAGCTCATTATTAATGTCTCTGTTCCTAATTCTTCCACACTCTGTGACCCCTTGTGGCTTGGTTTTATTGTTTTGCATGGATTGATACCGATTTAAAAAAAATAGTAACTGAACTATTCCCAAGTTTCTTCATTAACTTGAAAAATCACAAATATATATAAAATTATTTTCAATATTCTATAATATTGGAAAATATAATTTCAAGAAAAAGAGTACACATATGTGTATAGAAGGATTCATTTTTTATACAATATGAAACACAAGTTTCTGTTAAAATTTAAAGTGAACCCCAGATTTTCAGTTAATCTACAAATGCACCCTGAATTAAAAAAAAAGTTTGAGAGACACTGGTATAAATTAAAGAAGACTTGCGTCAATCTTATAACGACAGGCGAGAAATTGAACCCATCATACCTACGTCAAGATGAAGAACAGGCGTCTTTATTTATTGAGCTGACAACGAATTGCTGTAGTAAAGCTGCACATCACGTCAACAGTACAAGTACAACCTTACGCTTGTTATCGTCCTGTCTTGGTTTCAGTGCGTTTTGCTGTTGTACAGTCGCTGCGGGGGAATATTGACAGCATAATTTTGCATACTGATACTAACGTGCATATATTTACATAAATAATTTTAAAGTCAGTAGAGCTGAGCTACTGTAGTAAGCGTAATGATTGTACTGAGAAACGTGGTTGTTGATGCGAGCAATTTCACAGTAGCAACTGCAGAGTGCACGATGGAAAGATTACGTAGATGTCGGCGAATTGTTATCAACGAGGAGGAGATATGTATAAAAAAAAAACATAACTTTTTCCCTCTGTTAAGTCATGGAGGATATGAACAAACTGAGATATACAGACAGACAGACAGAGAATAACGGACAGACAAAGATATACGGAGACAGAGAGGGTGGATAGATAGATAGATATAAATAGATTAGAATAGATAGTGAAGAGATTTAGATAGATATATAAAGAGACATGAAGTGATTGAGATAAATGGATAGGTATAAAGATATTGAAATACATATATACAGAAATAGATAGGTAAATATGTACAGATTGAAATATATATATATATATATATATATATATATATATATATATATATATATATAGAGAGAGAGAGAGAGAGAGAGAGAGAGGGGGGGAAAATGTACAGAGTGAAATATATATAGATATGAAAAGATTTAGATAGATAGATAGATAGATATAGATAGATAGATATAGATAGATAGATAGATAGATAGATAGATCTGAACAGACTGGGAAAGATAGATAATGAAGTGATATATATATATATATATATATATATATATATATATATATATATATATATATGAAGAGATTTAGATAGATAGATAGATAGATAGATAGATAGATAGATAGATAGATCTGAAGAGATTGGGATAGATATTAACAAACTGACAGGATATCAAGCTAACATGTTTCACTTTTATTAAATCTTCGTCAGGGTGTGGGAGAAAACGGGCTGTTTTCCCTCAATCTCTGTCGAAACTTTTTCCTATTTGTTATTTTATTTTATTATATATATAATAAAATAATATTCTGATATATATATATATATATATATATATATATATATATATATATATATATATATGAAGAGACTGTGTCTATTAGTTAATGTAGTGAGTTCAACTCTTATATTTTCACTCCTATTGACTTTTACCAGACTTAGCTAAACTTCGGAAGTATAAATAACAGAACGCTTACGACATAGCTTTTTGTAGCAAAATTTCTCAAAACCCAATTCGCTATTTTAGCGAATTCTGTCCCCTGTTTATTCAACCATCCAGTCGGTGTTGATAATCTTGTGACTTTTGTGTATACAAGAAAAGAGGCTGCAGTGTGGAGAATACGTCTTTCTTTCACATGATCATTTCGAGAGATTGGAGTCCTTCTGAACATTTGCCATGGAAATAGCGATACAATAGTCATAGGCTTGCGATATTGCGTCTGTGGGGAAAGAGACTGCAGGGTGGAGAATATATCTACCCCAACATGACCTTTACAGGAGAATGGAGCTTTTTGCTGTGGATATAGCTATAGGTTTGCGACGTTTCATCTGTGAGTAAGTGTTTGTAGAATGGTAAATATTTCATCGTCCACAAATTCCAAATTCTAACAGGTCTGTAAAGAGAAGATTGTGTAACTCCAGCCGAGATTTGGCAGCAATATTCCATTTTTGTCCAGGTCTGACTCTTGTAAGAATAGAGCATGTCAGTAGGTGCCAGATACTTTCTGGAACAGTACAAGGAAAGGAGCCATCCCCTTTTCCTTTCAGCAAGACTGTTTTTCCATAACCGCTACAAAGAGCAAATTTAACCATATAAAATTACTCTTCATTTTTTCGGTGCCATATTTGATATCATTTATTTCTTATTTACAATCGGAGCTTTTGGTAATGGCCGTAGAAAGATGGTCCGAGTTGTTAGGATGAAAGACAGCTAAAGAGAAATTATGAGAAAGAAATATGAAACGATAACGATTGATATTGAATGAAACAAATTCAAGAATATATTAATCGGTATTTAAAAGAGGCACGGTGGAGTAATGGGTATCGGCTCGGATTGAGGATTCGGAGAACCGAGTTCGAATTCCAGTTCTACCTTGAGAAAGGTATAAATCCTCTTCTCCCCAAGCTTTGATGTGTTTCTATAACCTTGGATGGCATGGAAATGGCAATCTACCGCGGGAAAAAAATCTACCCCGTCATCGAAAGATACATGATCACCTAAGCGTATATCACGTATGGCACGTAATTGACTGATTTAAAATTTATAGCATGGCTGGAGGAGGCGGGTGGGTTGTACAAATGATGGTCCGAGTTGTTAGGATGAAATACAGCTAAAGGGAAATTATGGGAAAGAAATATGACGCCAAATTAATAACGATTGATATTGATTCATCTAATGAAACAAATTTCGACCATTTTCCCGGCGTCTTTCGCGATGGATTGTATATACGGGTTCCACTTGAGGCCAGCAGTGAGTTTCAGTCCCAGTCGACGTTCCAGGCAAGGAGTTCCACTGAGAGTACAACCCGGTGCCTACAAATAAACAAAAAAGAAACCGCGAAATTTGTTAAATCACAGGGTAGACTAGACTCTTAAGCCGTAGTTAGCAACCGGTATAAAAGAAGGGCGACTTTGAATTCAAAATCATGTGAGGCCCTGACAACAAACTTTAACTACAGTCCTCTACAGTGGTGTTCACCCTGTACAAGGCCCTGGGGTTACTCGAGGTAGAGAGTTATAGAATAAGAAGTACACCTTATGCGGATATGTGTGAAAGATAACGGTTAACCCAAGACTTGAACAGATTAAGATTGGAGTGATCAGGGAAGCAGCCTCTTGGGAGTCGATTCCACAAAGCAGCGCTTCGTGGGAAGAAGCTTCTTGAGTAGAACTTACATCTCACCAGTGGAATATGTAGAGAATGAGGAAGGTTCGCTATAATGTGCGTGGCATGGGGGGTCTTAGCCGTAAATGTTAGAACTGATGGGCGTAGTTCATCTGAACACTTTTTATGGAAATAGCAACAGCGACATGAAAGGCAAGCGACGTTTCGACTGTGAGAAAGGGGTTGTATGGTAGAAAATAATTCATCGCCCACAAGGACGTGGAAACGCTTTTGGTCTCTGTCCAGAGTGGAAAATGAAGACTGGGTAGTGGTAGACCATATATGGCAGCAGTATTCCATTTTCGGCCTGATTTGGCTCTTGTAAAGGTAGAGGATATAAGGAAGAGTGAGGGACTTACTGGAGCGGTACAGGGAGATGACCATTTTTCCAGCATCCTTAGCATCGTGTATAAGGGTTCCACTTGATGTCTGAGTTGAGTTGAAGAATCAATAGGCGTTCAAAGCACGGGGCATCCCTCAGGGAACATTCGTACATTACGATTGGTGAAAGTTCTGGGTTGGTTGGCTCTGTGCGCGTTGACGAAGCACAAATTGGGCTGAGCAGATGGGCATGGTCGGAAACACGTTAGCCATACTGAAGATGAGGCATCACACTGTTTTTCTGTGCGCCTTCAAGTCGAAACATCTCTGACAATGATTGAATGCCGTTGTTATTCTGTTTATAATGTAATGGTTTACTTGTGAACGATCGTAGAATGAACTACTCTCTGTGTATGAAATAATATATCAATCAAATATCCATTGAAGTTTGTAAAAGAGAAAATAATTGAAGATGCTCGTCTGCAGACACAACTTTTGTGTCGAATTTCAATAGCAGCTGCTATTGAAACGGCGTACAAACGATGAGAAATCTAATTCTTTAATTGATTTGCTTTTTTACGGATTATCGACCTTTTGCAGGTTATTTCAAGCCAGAAAATATTTGTAGATAGTGAATTATGATTTACACATACAAGTCCTACTATTTAACTTATAGCTGGGGGTAGAGGTGGATTTATAAAAGCCCGCGTAATTGAATATAACGAACACGACTAGAATTGGAACTCTACACTCCGATTTCCAATTCCGAGCCGTTATCCATGACACCATTCAGGTTTACTGCACTTGGTATTACCAATCAAGGTGTTAGCCAGTGCTGACGTTTCTTAACTTCGGTGATCGTACGAGAATCGGTGTTTCAACGTGATATGACCACAATGACATTATACCACCTGCACATCTACGTTTACAGAATCCGGTATTTCCCAAGCGGTCACCCATCTAGGAACTGACCAGGTTCGACGTGGCTTAACTTCTGTGATCGTACGTGAAGCAGTGTTTCAATCTAATATGGTACTTAAGCCCATTCCACCATATACACACCCAAACTTACAACACCCATTATTTCCAAGCGGTCACCCTTGTAGGTATTGACCAGGCTCGACTTTGCTTAACTTCGGTGATCATACGAGAACCGGTATTTTATTTTGGTATGTTTGAAATTGCGGTGTCTTTCCCAAGATATACGGCTAATTCGTTTATAAGAATGTTATGACAAAAGTCAACATCGATCGTAGCAGGTGCAGACTTTCCCGCCATCGTTCTATAAAGACGTGTAAACCTTTTTACTGCAAACCTTTCATATTCAGCTGCTGTAAGGGTGTATTATTGTATTTATGTGGTCGCACCGTCATTTAGTTTATTGTGTGTTTCATAAAGAAAAGTTGCCTTTGTCCACTGGATTTGTAGAACTTCAGCTAAGATGGTTATATCCCCTTGCGTACGTCTTGACGACAATTGATTCTACACACCTGCACTTACAGTATCCGTCATAGAATATGATTTTGCGTTCCCAATTCGCTAAATATAGCTAGTTAGATGTTTACGGTGGATAGCGGATCGGATTAAGGAATCGGAGAGCCGAGTTCGAATTCCAGTCGAATCCATTACATTCACTTACGTGTTAATACCCTTGGGAAAGGTATAAATCCTCATCTCCCTTCTAGTAGGACGGACCGGGTTCTATAGCCTTGGATAGCAACTGGTCTATCGCAGAAAGAATGGCAATCTACTGCAGGAAAAATGGCAACCAAAACAAAATCTGCCTCGTCAGTCAAATATCGAAAGATAGATGCTCGCCTAAGCGTGTATCATGCATGGCACATAACTGCCTGATGTACACTACAGTTCAAAGGTTTGAAGCCACCCCCAGAATTAGCATGGGATAAACTTGACAGGAGAGTGACAAAAATAAAAAATAAAAAAAGAGCTCTTAGAGTTACTGAAAAAATAATGGAATCAATTATCAAACTTATACTTTGAGAAACTTTTGCAACGAATGCCAAAAAGTTTGTGCAGCAGTAGCACGGTGGAGTTATGGATAGCGGCTTGGACTGAGGAATTGGAGAGCCGAGATCGAATTCTACTCGGATCCATTACGTTCACTAACATGTTAATATCCTTGGGAAATGTATGAATCCTCTTCTTCATCCCCCAGGGTAAGTAACAGAACAGAGTGGATTCTATAGCCTTGGATGGCAACTGGTCTACTGCAGAAAGAAATGGCAACCTACTGCGGGAAAGAATCTGCCTCGTCAGTCATGTATCGAAAGATACATGATCGCCTAAGCGTGTATCACGTATGACACATAACTGACTGACCCAAGTCTGGTTTCGACTCGTAAAGCAAATATTTACCGAGTTTAGCAAATGGGAGAACGGAAATAGAGTTAGGAAGATTTTGTTGCGTCAGCTCTCAAAATGGAAACTACCCGCGTGCATTGAAGATGAGCATTCGAAATTTGGGATTTTACAAGGCTTCAAAGAGAATGCATAATTATTGGATTAAGTGAATAAATATCTGGAGGCGTTTGTTGTGATCTCAAAACTTGCAAAAAGCAAAAAAAAAAAAAAAAAAAAATTGAAACTGTAATTTCACTTGAAAATAAAATCATTAGAATAACTTTCTATTTTATCAACCCTGTCAAAGACGCCAACCGTGTGATAAGACTCCCGCGGGGATGGTTTTCCGATCAATACAATCACAACCTCTTCAAGTCTAGAGTTAACTGTTATCTTTCTTACTTATCTTCATAAACTGCACTTGTTACCACCTCCTCTTACGCTCGTGCAACAAACACATTTAGCAACCTTCTACCTTGAGTGGCTCTTGTGTCTTGTACTGGGTGAACATTAATAAAAAAAAATACATCTTTTACAAAGGAGAAAGAAGAACCCCCATCACAAAAATATGACGGGGGCATTTTACAGGTTGATACTTGAAGACAGTAGTACAAAATCTATAGCTGCCATTTTTTTTTTTGCTATCGTGTAAACCGAACCTATGTCTATCTTTTTCACTATAGAGTAAACCGGATTTGTGTTTACTTTTTCTACTATATTGTAAAGCAGACATGTGTGTACCTTTTGACTATAGTGTAAACCGGACCCGTGTCTTCCATTTTAATTATAGTGTAAACAAGACCGGCGACAACCTTTTTTACTCTAGTGTAAATCAGACCTGTGTCTACCTTTTAGACTATAATGTAAACTGAACCGATGTCGACTTATTTTTTACTATAGTGTAAACAGGACCTATGTCTACCTTTTAGACTATATTGTAAACCGGACCTGTGTCTACATTTTTGACTCTAGTCAGACCCATTATCGTTTGCCGTTTGACTCTAGTACAAATCGGTCCTATGTCTATATTTTCATTAATTTATTGCGATTCTTGGCCTATACAACATCTATTCGGCACTAAATGACCCACTCAGGTGTTGAAATGCCATCAAGTTAAACAACGTGACTTAGTTTCCTTCGCCTTGTTAATTTCAAATTTAGATCCAGACAAACTGACAGACACTGATTTAATTTTATTTCATAAAGACTTTTCATATTTTGTATTTTTTTCTTTACTATTTTCGCATTCAAAAAATAAATCAAAATTATTTTAAATATATATTTGGAGAGTTTTTATAATTACATATCTATAGCCTTTTTCATCTGTCGCAGCATTCGCATCTTATACTTACCTGCACAACCCACTTGGCTTAACATAATAAAGTTGTCCAAATCCTTAAGCCGATGATAACAGACGCTTGCTTATCTACTTATGCCGGTAATCTTTCTTCGTGAACTGAGGCATGAATCATCCTTTTTCTTTCATACTTATTTACCTTTCTTTAATGTACTTCGTAATTATTATTATTATTATTATTATTATTTTATTTATCGCGCCTCATATATCGTAAGATGAGAAATATTGACAAAAACTTTAAAGAAAATAATTTCAAAAAATTTAAAGATTTAACAAAAATTGTACTTGGGTACACGGCAAGAAAAAAAAAGTAAAGGAAAAACTTAGAATTATATACAATGACGTGCCAAAAGTCACGGTAATCATGCCTCCTATTGTGTACGACTTTTTCTAGCCCGGCAAATTGCAACAATCTCGGCGTGACATCGAGACGACAAGTCGTCGAAAGATATATGTCGAACCATACTGTGTCGATAGCTCTCTGATATTTGTAGTTGAAGGATCTTGCGATCGGACACAGGCCTCGTCACTACTTCGCATAAAGGCTATGTTGGGCTCATGTCAAGCAAAAGTGCTGGCCACACTGTTCATCAGAAGTCTTCAAGATGCTCTTAAACCCCATTCTGAGCAACTTGGGCATCCGGCTCATTATTCTGTTGTAATAACCCAGGGTCCTTGAGTGGGAGCAGAGGGGACTGTTTCGCTGTTACAACTCTTCAATGTGCCTAGACGTCAGAAACCCGACCGATTTGACATCGGTCAGAGATCCTACCCCTAGGCTATCGTCGCAGGGCAGAGAAAGGGAAATTTTAACGTTTTTCTATGTGAAATGCGCCAGTGGACCGGAGAACACTATTTGTACATGAAGAGTAATGCATTAAAGTGAGACGTAATGATCAGTAGTCAGTCACGTGTTTAAACAGACGACGAACCCAACCAAGGTATGTGAACGCAGCCGACACTATTATGGAACACAATACACACACACACACACACACACACACACACACACACACACACATACATATATATATATATATATATATATATAATTAAATTTTGATTTCTTTATATATATATATATTCTCGGATATTCAGGCCGATAAATGTAGTTAATACTGTTTATTATAAACAGGAAATTTACTTAAAAATTTGTATCTATAAAAATAACGTATAAACAGAAAATATTTGTCGGACATAGTCCATTTCATGATATATGAGATCATTTGTTTACGTTAAGATACGCTCCGAGCAGATATGATCGTTTTGGAAAAATAATGGGAATTTTGTTGTTGAAAAACAGTAATTTGACTTTGCTAACCAGACGCTTACTTTGTAGTTAAATGGTATAGCACGTTAGGTTATATGACAGTTCAGTGTAGGATACAAGTTCGATTCCTGTCGGAGGAGGCATATTTTCTACCAAATTTCTGGAACATTCAGGCTGGTAAATGTAGTTAATACTGTTTATTATAAATAGAGCAACGTAAAAACAGAATGAATGAATATATATATATATATATATATATATATATATATATATATATATATATATATATATATATATTATCGAGATAATAACAAATATGGCGCCAGTTTGTTTACATTGCGCAGATCAGTACGAAAATTTCAGTGATTGCACAGGTCAGTGTTGCCAACATTGTGGGAAAATTCTGTGTGAATTGATTGGACGGTTTTGAAATATTAGAAAAAAGTTATCTCGATAATAATTTGTCAGGCAGTGTATATATATATATATATGTGTGTGTGTGCGTGTGTGAATGATAAAAATATAGTTTTAAGGTATGCTATATTTATGGGTAAATTGCTCAATATCTGGGATAGAGCGTATGTAAATATAGAAGTGAGGTTATCATTGAGAATCAGTTTCATGCTCGCGCGCAATTTCCAGGACACATGGCCTGGAGGTTGTGCAAAACCGACTGAAACAGACTGTCGCCTTTCAATGTTATCCTCAGTAGCCACTTACATATATATATATATATATATATATATATATATATATATATATATATAGTCATTCATAGACAGACTTTCGCTGTTACAACTGTTCAATGTGGCTAGACGTCTGAAACCCGATCTATTTGACATCAGTCGGAGATCCTACCCCTAGGCTAGAGAAAGGGAAATTTTAGCGTTTTTCTATGTGTGTCCCGGAGAACTCATTTTGTACTTGAGGAGTAATGCATTAATAGGATGCATTAGTAGGAGCCGCTGAAGAAGCCTTACTAAAAATAATCTTGATATTTGGTCAAATTTTTTGAAGTGGGGTTTGTCTAAGAAAACTTTCAATACTTTCGTTATTGGCCAGCGACTCGTTTCCAGGCACACCTTTCTGCACTGGCACCGGCGACTAGTCAGTCTCTGTTGCAGACGCTTTGTGGGGCACCTTTTTTGTTTGTTCCTAGGTATTCTACAGAACCCGTTTGCTG